TTCAACCTGCCCCATGTATAGCCTGTTATAATACATGATGATGGTCATCACAAATAATGCAGGAAGTCATGCAAATGGTAAGACATTGAGAGCTGATATTTACGGGATGAGCTTGAGAGTGTTGAATGCTAATGGGTTAAACAGAAATTTTGCCAACAAGCTTAAGAAAAAAAAAAAAAAAAAAAAATCAAGTAGAAATTGTTAACATTAATAGGATTGAAATTCAAGAATTATTATTTACTGTTAAATCTTAAACATTTTGCAAACTGTAAAGTTTAAATTTCCCAATATGTTAGATGGAATAGCATATATCCATTATCATTGGGCACCTCGATGTGGTGTAATGGTTAGAAAACTTGTCTTGTTAGATCAGTTATGACTGAGTAGTGAGTTTGATCCTCACTGGGTGCCCCATACTTTTGGCCTTGTGCTGCATCTAAGCCACACTTAGAAAATCACTATATCCATTATCATAGGGATTTGTCAGGCTTTTATTAGAAACTAATACCCTTCTTCAATGGTGTATATCAACTGATATAATTAAGAAAGTGTTGTATTAGTTATTTGCTAATAGATTATTTTTCAGTTGAGAGAAAAACAAACTTGAAAATAATTATGACATTTGTCCATTATTAATATTGACCAGTATATTTTGGTAACCCAAAACAGCAGTTAACTGAATTAGCTTATCTCTTGCATAAGATGAGAAATGTCTTAATACAAATAGTATATATAAAATGCAATTTTCAAATAAAACATTTTTATCCGTATAATTTATTTCTCTAGATCAAGATTGAGTACTTGTGGGAACTTGTTTGATGCCATGAAACTTTTTATTTTTATTTTTTTGTATAAACAGAAATTAGCTTTAACAATCTAAGATCCCATTATTGTAGTTTTAATTCTGTTTTACAACTGATAATACAAGCAAGAAAATACAGTAACTATGCCAAAAATATCCACTATTAAAAAAAAAAAGGTCCCAGTTACAACCAATCTTTTTTATAAGGATAAATGAGAGAAAATATGAATTATTCATCCAGCATCAAAGATATTCAAACAATGCTACCCACATATAGAGAAAAAAAACATGCCTCCCTAACCCTGAGAATACTCAACAAAGTCATTCATCTTAATTAAAGTCCCATTTTCTGAACAAAATTAAACACTTCATTTAAAAAAATAAATAAAAAATACTAAACTGATAGTCAAGTGTAAATAAGATGAACAGAAATATAACTTAAACGAGTTCAGTTTAAGTACTCTTGTCGAAGATACTGTCATATTATACAGGCCAAAGTGACTGGTTCCAAATTTATATTTGATAAATGTATTTCCTTAAATGGGCTTCAAATGACAACTCCTTCAGGAAGTCTCATTAAATAAAGTACAAATTCTTTGTCAAGTTGATTCTTGTATAAATCCTGTTCAGTCTTCAAGTGATTTCCTTTTGATTCGCTTTCAATGTGTCAATAATTCATCTTCCCAGTCATGATCAGAAATGGAAAAGAGATTTTCTGGTTGAATGGGATTTACTTCAGTTGCATCAAATTATTTTTGATGCACAATTATCTTGATCATGGTATCAAATATAAGTCACTTCTCTAATTTTTTTTTTTTTTTTAATTTTTTAAGCCGATTAGGTTCCCTGCTCTCCAAGATGAGAGAATTAGCAGACCAATGTTTTTATTATGAACAAGAGTGTCCTTTAAAAAGCAACCTTGGATTATACTGATGAAGATCTTTTTAGTTTCTCCAAGAGACAGAGAGAAGAGATGCTTTCACTTTAGTGTGTATGTTAGATTAAAACTGCATTAATGTTCTTTGGCTCAGATCTCTTAAAAATAACCATACTCCCATGGCCTCCAAACATGACATCAGAAACAAAAAGACATTTTCCACACGTTATATAAGAGTTAAATTGTGGCAGTTTTAGTCAACAGCCACTTATCAAATTTATGCTTCATTCCATCAAGAACAGAAGAGTAATCCATTCATTTTTTTGGATAACAACTAGTGCAATATTTTTCTTTTTACCCAGACATTTTTTAAATTTCTTCAGAAAATATGTAAAGCTCCCAATAGTATATGGTGGGAAAATTTAAAAATTATGAAAAATTTTCAAAATATTTCAGTCTTTCTATTGTCATTTTGGGAATTGAAGTACATTGTATTGTTTCTCATTTCTTTTTTCAGGGTAAGTGTTAAAAGTTTATTCCATGGTTCCTGTGAATGTTTTTTTTTTCTGGCAGATATTTGGCATTTCACCTGATCCATTGTTCCATTGCAATAACTTTTATAAATGTTCAACATTTCCTTGTGATGGTAAAGCTTTTCCATTCTGTGAAGGAATGTAGGCATTAATGTCCAAAGCTTGTTTAGTGTTGCTATTGTTTGAATGTTTGTTCAATTATGCCTTCAGCAAAGTTTCAGATATTTTTCAAATGAAACATTAGAAGAATTTTCTTTTATGTTTAGGTTGGTTTAATGAGTTTATTAGAATGCAGTTGAACAAGAAGTCAATTAAGAGGCTGAGGAAAAAAAAATATCAATATAAACCAGCACTGTGTGAGTTTTTTTTTTTTTTTTGTCAGTATTTACTAAATGTCTGAAGATACTACTTGCACTAAACATGAAATCTTTTCTGCGCTATATATTCAAATTCCATGTTTTTAACAGTTGTGACTATTCATTGTTTAAGTCAAAGAAAAATGTAAAAATGGTGGGAGGGAGTCAAAATTGGAACTAACTTAACATGTACATCATAAATTTTCAGATTATCATTTTGTACCAGTTCATGCCAAAATGTCTGTAACAATTCTAAAAATTGTTTACTGGCTAGCAGATTACAAATATTAAATGCTGTTTTTAATAATGAGAGTGAGGAAAAAAAAAGTCAGAATGTTCTTGGTTATTCATTTCAAAATTATCAAATTGATGGTAATGAAAAGTTCTGCTATGCTATAAACACATACAAGTCTTAAAGAAATAAAAACTTACAGATAAAAGAAAAATAAACTTAAATATCATCAAAAAATGTGCAATAATGCAATACACAGTACAAGAGCAAATAAAACAGAAAGAAAAATAAGGTTTTTTGCCCATTTTGTAGGGCAGTTTGGTAGGCATTCAGACTAAAAATGTTCACATGAGCAATACCAAAAGCAATAGCAAACATAATGCTTACATCAGCAATGGAACGTTTCTGAAATAATTAACTACAGTTGCTAGTAATTATCTAATATAGTATAGTTTTGAAAACACTTCAACTTGAGCAATTTGCAAAATCGCATTATTATTCAACCTATCAAGAGGCATTTGATGTTTGTATAGTATTTCAAGTCAAAAAAATTACTTTTCAAGAACACTTTTATAAATTTAAAACTGGAAAATGTGTCATTTCATATTGGTTCATGCCAAAATGCCTCCATCATAATTCTAAATTAATTTGTCAGTTAGCATATTACAAAAATACTCAGCTTTCAGCTATGATTACATGTTTAAGTGTAGTTTGTATGTCTATAGCTTTAATCCTATTGAATGATGTTAATTCCACAAGATCAATTGAAATAATGGAAATCTTACTGTTAGCATTAAAAACTATCAAGAAAATATTGCACAGCTGAAGTAAGCATCATTATTTTGCTGTTGCATATTTGAAGTAGCTTCTTTTGAAAACATCATGGATCTGTTTTGTAAACAGTAATTTATGTTCAACTGAAATGAAGAGAGATTTCATCCCCAAACGTGATTAAAGAATGAATTCTTTCACTGCAGTCCAATCCATTATATGATAAACTGATGTTGAGAAAGTCTGCAAATTGAAGGGCTGAGCACACACGCATGAATATCATCATGGAGTGAAAATCCAACAAAGTATATATATATATATATATATATATATATATATATAAAAGAGTTTGATTGCTGAATAGCAAAAAGTTCAAAATTATTTGATGTTCATATTTATGGGATATAAGAAAAAAATATTTTAAAAAATAGAAAATAGCTGTTACAAACAAAAATTAAAAAAAAAAAAAAAAAAAAGAAAATAAAAGTCACATATAATACAAGGTTGAAGAATAATCATTAGAACCAAGTGTTGTTTGTAGCAACCCTGTACAAGTTCCTAAAAGAAAACATTCCACTGTAAGCCATCTATCATGTGTCACTTGGTAATTGAAAGGAAAGCTTCAGTTTTAAGTTCAATGTTTATCTACTTCTATGTATGAGTAGAGGCAGCCAGAATAAAGTCTAGAAGAGGAGAAGCAATTCAGGCTGTGTTGCAATAACTTTTTGGTTTGTTTTGAACTTTTTTTCCTTTTCTTTTAGATTTTCACTTGCATGTTACAGAATTGAACTTTTTCTTTCTTTCTCACCCCTTCCCTTTCTAAGGCAGTGCCTAAATTTTCTTTTTTTTTTTAAAGATATTTTTTGCTCCATTTTTTCTTCTTTCTTTTTTTTTTTTAAAATTTCATTTTTTTAAAATTTATTTGAGAGTATTGAGCACCAATTAAGGGTGCTCAAAATTGAGACACTGCAATTGTTCTCAGAAACCGGACAAAAGAACCAATTTTTTTTCACTTCCTTTTTTCTTTTTTTCTTTCTTTTTTTTTTTTATCATGTCCAAAGTGATGGAACCGAGAGCCAGTTCAAACATTGTTTCATTTTTTTTTTTTTGTTTTGTATTGTTTTGTTTGTTTGTTGGTTTCAATTTGTTTGTTTGTTCGTTTTTCATTTTCTTTTGCTGTTGATGCTTTATTTGTTGTTGAGTTTTACAGAAAGGAGACAAGTGCCAACATTCAATCATGGGATCGAATGTTCACACAATGAGTCAGGAGTGGGAACGCCAGAGATTGTCAAGTCCAGGCAGACACTTCTAGACAGTCTAGCAGTTCTAAGATAAGTTAAAGTGTCATCATCGTTATATTGCTAGCCTTTCTGTCCCAAGCCTAGCCTAAGCCAAGGGACAGATGTGGCGTTTCGGCAAAATAGCTTACCTTCTGACCACTCCTCTGGCTCTTCACTATCTATTTCACTGCCTGGTTCCACCGGTTTCTTAACAACCACAGTGGACTTGATCTTGCCTTCCTTCTCATGCTTTATTTTGCTGTGACTTCGCTTTTCTGTGGAAGAATTTTCATTCTTCCGTTTGCGGTCATTACCTTTGTCTCTGGGACTTTTCAGTTTCAGCTTGATATCGTCAGTATTGTCACTTTCATGTCTGCAAAACAAAAAGAAACAAACAAACAAAAGAAAGTAAATTCAGTGCAAACACAAGCATTGCTATAATAAATACAAGAAATAATAGAAAAAAAAAAAAAAAAAAAAAAAAAATCAGAGAAATCTGGATTTAAAAAAAGTTAAAAAGAACTCATTGCAATATAATGTTTAGTTGATTGATTAGAATTTGACTTGGTTTTTTTTTAAAAGGAAATAAATGACGCTAACAAGAAAAGTGAGTGGACCTTTATCAATTGAAAAATAATACAGCATCAAAATATTTTTAAGTAAATAATAATTAAGATATGAAAAATCCATATTTTATGGCTTGACAACTGTATGGGGTACACAGCCCATGAAACTGATCATAAATACTAAGACATAGCTATCACACACACTATATACAAGGTCTGATCAAAAAGTATCAGGACTGGTACTATAAAAGGAAAACTACAATACTTGGTATTTAATTGCCTTCAAAGTAGTCTTCTTCTGAAGCCACACACTTTATTTATCAAGCATTAATGGAAGTATTCTTGGAACTACTTTTTTGGAGATCCTTGTTGCATTTCCTCAATGTTTTGAAATCTTGTTCCTTTCATGTGGGATTTGATTTTTGAAGAGGAAACGTCATAAGGAGCAAGGTCTGTCAAATATGGTGGGGTTGTAGGACCTGGGGAATGATTTCTTGGCCAAAAACTGCTGCACAAGCCATGGTTACTGATGGAGCCTCTGGTGTGGTGAGACAACCACACTGCATACTTTCCTTCCAAGTATTTTAAGTGAGCAAGAACATTATAATTTAGTGTGAATATGCAACAGAATTAAAAGGTCAATCTGTGCCAAATGGTTTCACTCTGTATACTTTAGCTGTTAACATAGCAACATTCCGATACTTTTTGATCACACCTTTTTATATATATATATATATATATATATATATATATATATATATATATATATCTCCCAGTGGTTTGACTACCATTTACTGGGCACACAGCAGTGTGGTAATTGGAAGCTTACCTATTACTGGTAAATAAAGTACCCAAAGTATTTGTACACGGGGAACATAAGATAGGTAGTCCCAAAACAAAGTGGCTAGTACAAAAGAAAATATTAAAATAAGCTGATAGCCATGTTCCTGGTTAACAATAGTCAAGCCAATATTGAAACATTATTGATATTATTTTTGATTAGTTTTGCCTTATTTTTGTTGGTATTTATGACAAGATAAAAGAAAAAGAAAAAACTTAAAATTAATATCAACTATTTTATTTTGATTATAAAAAAAAAAAAAAAATGCTTATAATCTGTTATTGTAATTACCAATTGTAGTGTCCATTTGATCAATAAAATCAATAAGTACAATAAAATATTCATGCTTGTAATAAAATGTAATAAGAACTTTAACCTTAAAGGACAAGTTAACACTAATCTGAACACAAGTGATTGTATTGTCTCAGTAAATCACTGAAATACTATGATAGTCAACTTAAGACCAAAAAAAATCCCAAACATTTTCAATTGCAAGGAAAAAAAAAAACAAAAAAAGTCAACTTGTTTAACATTAAAGTTCAAGAAAGACTTCATGAAATTTATAGGACATTTAAAGAATATTTCATTCCAAAATTATGCAAAAGGAACTTTTTTTTTATACCTTTTATATAATTGAATCCAAATTTTATATACACCCCCCTACACCAAAGAAAAACAAATAACTAAAGATTACTAAGAAAAGATCAGAAATCCTTTGAACTTGTCAAAACCCGTTTGTTTTATTGATTTATTTGTTTTTTGCAGTTGGAGAGAGAAGAGATGGATTCATACTTTTCCTAATAAGTGAATATAACTAACCCAACTGGAATTGGGACAATTCAGAGCTGCTATCCATCATATCACCTGCACATCAAAGCTTACAGCACCTGGTATCCCCAAGTGGTCACCCATCTAGGTACCAACCAGGCTCGACATTGCTTAACTTTAGTGATTGTACAAGAACCAGTGCATATGACCATAAGCCCTGTATGTTTTGAGAACAAATTTTGAACAAAATACTTTGAATATGAATTCTTACATTAACTGAATTTGTATAAAATTGAAGTAGCATAACCAAATGTTTAACATTACGGAAAAGGAAATTGACAAACAGAATTTCAATTTGAACTAAGGTAGTTTGTTTGCTCAGCACTAATGCTTATTAAAAAGGCACAACTCTGTTTCTCCCAACATGTCAAATTAAGGATAACTGTTCTGCTGGTAACACAAGGCAGCCTATTACAGTATGTTATTTGGAGAGAATTTTAACTCTAAGAATATCTACAAATCAGTTTCTATTAATAAGAAAGTTGTTAAGAAATACTAATGTATAGTAATATTTTTGTTTTAGTAAATTATCAAAACTGATTTTTTTTTGTAGTAGCTATTCACAAATATGTAAGAGGGTGGATTAAGTTCATAGCCAGAGAGATGTTAGCTGAATTTTGATCTGAAATTTTCACTGTATTAGGTTCAATTTATGTAATTAATATTCAACATTGAATTAAGTGCATTGACAAAGAGATTATGTCAATAAGTAGATATTTGTTGCATCAAATAAATGAATCCTACATCTTTAAGCTACTTACTGATGTAACTCCACAGAGAAAACGTAGGGATTTATTCCAGTTCTGACAGACATTGTATGTTACATTTTTTTCTGATATGTAGACTAAATTTGCAAATCCAGTGTATCTTACTTGATTCCAATAGAATCAGTCATTCAGATTTCTTTATTGACAAAACTTAGGGTTATCTAATAATAATAAGCGGTATGGCTGGATTATAGAACTTGGATAAATGTTTCAGTTATTTTAGAGTGGCAGTATCTTTTCATTTAATTACATCAGCTGATGAGTGAGGCTGGTTGGAGACATGATTACAAATACAAGGAAGTATAGCTCTCAAGATTTTAGAGTTCTTTTTTTTTTTCTTTCTTTCTTTTAATAGGAATCAATTTTTTTTTTAAAAAGCCACAGGCAAGTTAACTGAACCATATTATAATTCTTTAATTTTAATAGATATTATATAAAGGAAGATTATATTCATAAAATCTAAGGCTCTATCAATTACTATAGTATTATTTAAAGTCATTATCATAAATCTACTGAAAAGGTTAGATACATATAATTACAGCAAACACACACAGGTATCCCTTCTGCCTTTACAACAAAAGATTTATTACTTTGGTAGCCATTTATCTTCTATCTGCTTAAATATTAATTTCTGAATTTCTATAACAAACCACTTTTCCTTCTAAACTCAACCTTACATAATAAGAGTCAATTCATCTAATAAAAATGAATGAATAATTGCATGCATATATTTAAATCTCCATTTGAATGAATGTGTGTGCATACACACACATTTTATATATATATATATATATATATATATATATATACACACACACTAATGAAACCAGTTCATCAGCAAAAAAGTCTCATAGAAGTTTTCAAAATGATATAATTGTGTATTTCATTGAAGATGACTGACAAGACACTGCGATTGGGCTTTTTATTAAACTTTTCTTTTCTGGACAGTGTAAAAGGTGTCCAAATGTTTTATGGATCAAAGCACTCTTGACTAATCTATCAGCCATTATCAAGGATTTTTTTTTTTTAGCTGAATATGCAGATCTTTATGTTTATGTCTCTATAGAGATAGGAATGGGTTTATTTTAAGTGATTTCAAACATGCCCAGCATGTTATGGCCATGTTCATAGTTGATATTATTGAGTTAGATTTCTTTTTTTATTACTAATATACTTACACTACTTTTAAAGATTTTTGATATGTGAATGAGGCTATTTTGGTTTATTTCCAAAAGTAGGTTGGACAGAGGTTGGTAGGTGTGTGTGTTTAAATGGATCCTAATGAAGCTATGAGTTTTTACACTATGTCCAGAAAAGAAAACACTTGTACTAATGCAAGAAAAATTTAAAAAGCTTAATTGCAGTGCCTTGTCAATTGCCTTCAATGAAACTTGTGCGTCTGTGCATCAGGTGAAAAAATGCTAATCATTCAATATACTTTTTTTTATTTATTTTTTATTTATAATGCTTGATAGCCATATACTTGAACTTGATGAAAAAATAGTAGATTATACCTTAGATAATATATAAAAGATTGAAACAGAAATCAATTTTTCTTTTTCTTTATTGCCACAAGAGAAAACAAAAAACATTTAATTTTAATGCACTTTACTGAAACAGTAGATTACAGGATGGGGATGTTGAGAAATAATTTAAAGGGCTATTTTAATAAGAATCTTAGTTCTTGAAGGTTTTTTTTTTACAAAAATATTGTTTATAATTTTAGCTCATAGTCTAGAACCATAAAAAGGTATATTTTGAATAAGCTTTTTAACCATTACACCCTGTAGGTGACTATTTTCACCAAGTAAAATGTTAGTCCTGCCAATGTTAAATTTGAATTTCTTGTTTGTGTAGTCATATCCTTCTATGGCAACACCTAAAACAATCTTGACTGAAATTGAGAGCCAGGCTACTGCAATTTCAAATATATAGAATATATAAAACACTATATTTTGATGGGATTCCATATACAGGAAGCAATATTTATGATTCACAGGGCTAAATGTTTCTTATTTTTGGTTAAAACTATAGGATAAACCTTACTTTATTTTAATTGAAAATATCTAAAATTAGATTAAATATTGGTGATAAAAGTATCACTGAACACCAAGAACTGCTTATAAAATATTTATATTCAGAGATGCTGATCTTTTTGGAAAGTATTCAAATTTTGGCAATCATTTTTAAAGTTTTGGTAACTAAATAATGCAACAGTAGGAAACAATATGAATAAAAATTTAAAATATTTATTATAAACTTTTACTAAAATCAGAGATTTCTAAATCCATAAATTTAAGCTATATCAAAAAAAAAAAAAAAAATATCAAGGTGTAATTTATGTACAATTTTTTCTTTTGAATTAATTATGTTCAAGATATGATATGAAGATTTCATGGCAAAAAATGCCAACTGAGTTAAGGAATTTTTTTCAATATTCATTTGATTGAAGAGAAAAAAAAAAGCATTTTAACATAAAATTTACATGAAATAACTATACATGCATATGTGTGTACCAATATCCTTAAGTGTTTTATTTTATTAAACAAGTACATTTAAAAAAAATTCTAAACCTCTCTCTCTCTCTATATATATATATATATATATATATATATATATATATATATATATATATTCATTTAAACGTTATTTTAAATGAATATTCATATTTGAGTAGATGCTCTGTTCTTATTTATTAAACAGTGTATTTATTTATTTATATCTAACACCAGCCTGAATATTTGAGAAATCTTGTTAGAAAAATATGTCCACCCCCCCGGTAGGATTTGAACTTGCGTCCCCTAGTGGAAACTGTCATTAGATTTGACATAGCTTAGACCATTTGGCTTGAATTTTTTTTTCAAATTGTTCACTGAAAATAAGTCATTTGATTGGTTTAATAAGGGCTTTATTTATCTTTATAATCTCTTTAAAGAAAAGCATTTATTTTATTATTAAAAACAAATCTGTGACCATTGAATTACTACTAAGCTACTGCATTTACCATTGCACCACAACAAACCTATATGAAATGACTACCAAAAAGCTGAAACATATCAATTTTGTTAATATTGTTTTATGGTATATATAAATCCCTTGAGCCCCCAAACAACTGCATAGTGCAGAGGAGCAAAGAAAGGAATTGGGCTTGCACAATGAAAAGTATCATTGCTTGTCTATATGCCCATTCCAAGCCCTGAAAAGTAATTAAAACTAATGGAAGTTCTATTGTTTATATTTTCCAGCATATATCTTCTATCTTGCTCAACTCACAGCAGAATAGAGTAACTAATTTTCACATTTAACCTTAAAAAAGAAAAAAAAAAAATAAATAATAATAATAATAATAATATTGCTTTTATTATTTTTATTTTATTTTCTAAGTAACTGCTTTATTATTCATTTCTAATCTGGGTTTTATCATCTTTAAATTAAATAATTTTTAATGACTTTTCCAACTCCTTAGTTATTCAAATAAACTCATTTTCTGACTTGAAAGTGTTAAACACTAGCATTTAACTCACAGCTTTAGCATGAAAGGAAGTAAGCAATATTGATTTTTTTTTTTTAAATTGTTTATTTTGAAAATTTAACAAATATAAATTATATGCTACATATATGAAATTAACCCTACAAAATATTTAAATTTATTAAACTGTTTTAGTTGCAACAATTTAGTTAATACCACTTAGTGACATAGAAAAATCTCTGAAAGAAACAACAGTACAACATAGCAAAGGAAAGTTAATTTGAAGTCTGTCCAATGAGGAGTTTCATTGCTGGTTTAATACAAAATGTTCAATCAGAGGAGTTATCTTAATCATACAATTTAAAATCAGAGAAGAAATCAAAGATCTGAGTATGGGAAACTAGATAATTCAGTTAATTCTAATCAAAAATAGTAGACACAGGCAATATAACAGAAAGATTAAAGGGATTATTATGATAAAATGGCTTGGAGGATTAAATTATTGGTTTGTGAATTTGGTGACATAATAATTGTTAGTTCAATCCCTGGACTGGAAAAAGGACTAGCAATAAGGGAACAATTAACCAATGCATGATATCCATAGATATGGACAACAGAATAAGAACAATATAAACTGAATATAAAGGTCCAGTTCAAAATTCCTTGAAGGTTATTGGAATTGACAGACACATGAAAGACAAAGAGCAGAATGGCCAAAATTCTTGTCATAACAACAATTGACAAAATGTAATTGTAACAAAGATGGGGACATTAGTCTGACTAAATAATGTAAATTTATTTTTCTACATATTTTTTTTTGCAATTCATCTCCCTACAAAATTCAAGTTCTAAGATCTTCCAGAAACTTCAAAATAATATTACAATTGACTAATTGCCCGTGCAATAAAAAGCAGAGTAAACATCAAACACTTTGAATATTTTCTTATACAAAAGACACAAATGAGAACTTTTGCATGAACTTAATAATTTTCAGAATTAACACAATTAGCAACTTTTAGGGTCTATAATTTATATTTTTTGTTTTTATTATCTTAAATTTTTTTTTTTTAAAGTTTCATAAGCTTTTCATGGTAACTGTTTTGATGAACTTTCCTCTATGATACCTAGACTTTATCAATTTAAGCCCTGTATTAGATTGTCAGCATTTTACAGTTGAAATGGCTAGATGTAACCTAAGTTCTGGCTTCTTGCTTACCAGTCAACTTTGATCTTCAAAAATTTAAATGCAATGTCAATCATTATCTCCTGTCTTAATTCTTGTTATTGTTCTCTCTCCTTAATAGTGATTTCATATTCTATGACACTCATCTTAGTGACTTTATTGCATTGCTTGAGGTGAAATGATTGAAAAAAGAAAAAAAAAAATTAAAAACTAAATTTAAAATGTTGAGAAAAGGCTTCTAGTTTCAGTTAGCCTCCACAAGATTTATGTAATCAATCATTATAATTTTGTAGCCCAAAAAAAAAAAAAAAAAAAAAAAATCATGATTTAAAATTTAGGAAGAAAAGTCAACAAAAAAAACAAAACAAACCTAATATTGGTAATAAAGTGTGCTTCTAATTCAGCCGTTTTTTTTATAGCAACTCACAGATCATCATAAGCAGTACATTCCAAAAATAAAGAAACCTGACAATAGAGATTTGACGTTATACCATTTATCCTTACGCTAAGTCCTTGGAGGCCAGCTTCCTTGTGGAGGCTAACCAACTACAGTAATTGAAACTTAACCATATAGCATTTCTTTATTTCCGCATCAAATTCAACCATCTTTATACTATAGTTGTACAAGTTGTAAAATTACTTGAATTTCTTTGATGAAGCTTTGTCAGTCATTAACCTTTCTTAATTTCAGTTGCTATTAATAGGGGCCACAAATGGTTTGTGAACTTTAACACCTCCAAAATGTAACTGCTGACCTTTAGTCATCTTAGAGAATCATTTTTGCTCTCCATTAGCATAGCTGATGCCCACCTAAGGGAGACTAACTCATTGCACTCTCTCAGTTTCATGATTTGTACCAACATGAAGAGAAACAATTATATTGAATCAATTGCTAGGTCTGATGCTAGGAAAGTTGGTTCACGGTGTTAGGCCACATGATTTTTCTCAACAGAATCCATCATTGCATTGAATAGTGCTGCCACACTATCTGGTACTTTATATATATATATATATATATATATATATATATATGCTCTGTTAAAATAAAAACAGAGCTCTCTGTGGATCAGTTTTAATAATTAACATTACTAGGATCCACTTGGATTATATACCAACGGATCTCGATTACCTGTACTATATATATATATATATATATATATATATATATATATATAATAAAGAAAGAGATTCTTGACAAAATCTAAAGAAGAATTTGCAATATTATCAATCCTAATCTATCATCTCAGCTTCAGTACCCTTCCTATAAATATTTTCACAGTAATTTTTCTAATGAGCTTTCCTCTTTGGTAAATTGATTTAAAAAATTTAAGCATAGTACAAGATTGGCAGATAGATCAATCAATTTCAAGAGTTATGAGACCTAACTGTAAATTCAATATTAATAGTTTCTTCTCTCACACTTCTTGACTTTGGAACTATTTTCTAGCTTTTGGCTTTCCTGTAAAGTACAAGCTTAAAAAATTTAAATGTAATATCAATTGCCATTTTCTGGCTTTTTGAAGCTGGCTTTTTATTGTCCTTTCTCCTCACTAATGTTTTATTGTTTTCTTTCACTCTCAGTAGCCTCTAGAGCCTTAGAGGCTTTATCACCTTGCTCAGGGTGAAATAAAAAAAAAAATCATTCATCGACATAAGCAGCATGAATCAATAACATCTGATCTTCAAATGAGAATCAAATTTGCACCCTTTAATAAATGACAAATGCTCCATTTAAGAAATTCAAATATCACTGCATATTTCTGCAATTTGTTATCAAAGTGTGGCCATCAAAAGAATTTCACATTTTTATTAGCTAATTAGAAACTTTTGCCAAACTTTGGTCCCTAGAAAGAAATCAAGAGGAAACAGCTTGGAATGAAACCAGATCGTCAGAGGAAAAACAAAAAATTGAGAATGAAGAAAATGGTAACCTACCTTTTAGAAGATCTGATTCTACCTTCTGGTGCATTTGCCCCTCCTGTAAATGGACCGTGTAGAAATTTGCATTTCGAGCCAAATGAACAAGATCCTGTCAACAACCAGTTCCGACACTTTTCCACATATGATGATTTCTCCATTCTCTAAGAGGATAAGAAAAATTTGTAATAAGTGAAGGGATAAAAAAAAAAAAAAAAAAAAGTCATTCACCACAGGTTTTTTTTAAAATATAAAAGCAACAAATTTCAATGGCACCTCTTTTTTATTTATTGGAGGATTTACAAATAAATACCAAATTGGTATTTCTCAGTACATGATCTTATTTTGACTCATCTTTTCTTTCACCTGTTGTTGTTGTCTAAACACAAGGTTTCAATTAATAATAGTATTGGGTTGGCCAAAAATTTTATTCGGTTTATTAAGTAAATTCTCTACTTAACAAGCAAGCAAGCATTTTAGCCAAACCAATGTAACACCAAGAGTTTGAAAGCCATAGAGTTATTTTCCACAATCTATAAACATTTGCTCAAACATTTTATTTAAAATGAGTTTTTTTCCTTTTTTAGATTTCAAGTTAAAGTGTGTGGGGAGGGGGATAAAAGAAAAGAAAAGTCTTACTAATAATGAACTATACTATGCCAGGTTTTATGATACAAGTCAATCTTTCCACAATGAAATCAGTATTAACTAGCTAATAGTTAATTTTGAGGATATAATTATATTTCTATGATAAATTTATGATGCCAATTATATCTATTTTTATTAGAAATAGTGACTGTTGTCCAAAGAATAGTATGGTTACTGATTTTGATTTTTTTTCCCAAATAGATTGCCATGAGTCATAAAAAAGGGACAATCTCAAGATAAAGTTAATAAATAATAGAAAAAAAAAAGTTTACAATTGCAAAATAGTTGAACAGAGATAAAAGAAAAAAAAAGCAATCAAAAAGGAAATTGAGAATATTATCAAGATGAGAACAAGAAAAAGAAGCAGGTTGGGGAATGTTACAAAAAAGAAATATGATAAAATTAAAAGAGATATGAAGAAAAAGCAAGAAAAGTTGAAAATATTTGAAAAAGCCAGTGTTGAAGAGATGCAAAATATTAAGAAAATTAGCTAAAGACATGAAAGCAACCAAACTACCACCACAAAGAAAAAAAAAAAAAAAAAAAAAAAAAAAAAGAAGAAAACAGATTTCTCAACAATTTTTACTGATGAATGTAGAGCTATAACAGATGAACCTGATAGCTTGACTAGAATTTAGGTCTTTTATGGAAACAGGTAATCGACTTGACTTAGAAGACAACAAGGAAATAATATAATATGTTGAGCTAGTCTCATAGGCAGTAAAACGAGTATTTTTAAAGTTCATAGAATCAAAATAAATGCAAAGAATTATTATAAATTATTGCTTTAGATTCTAAAAGGCTAGCCCACCTTGACAAAAAAAATGTTTCAAAGATACCAAAGTAATAGAAATGCTCTGATCAATTATAAGAATGGGAAAAATATTCAATCAAAAGGATCTGTGAAACAATAAAACCTTAATGTTAAAATCAAAGTAATACAAAAGTTAACAAAATCCATGGTGAAAAACTGATGAAGGTCATAGAAAGTCAAAGGGTCTGTATTAATATATAAATTATTAAACTTCATTTTTATTTTCAAGTAGATAGTATATTGTGTTAATCAAATGTTTCTATAGAAGATATTTTTTTTATTTATTTAACCCCTTCTCCGGCATTGATGTGTGCATATGCTTTTACCGAAGGTGTCTTCTTCAGACACAGACGAATAAACACATCCAAAAACCAGTTACAGACATATTTATATGCCTATCTTGATTCTTTTTATGCCCTTCGGAGCTTGAAATGAGTCCAACTGTCAACTCATACATCTGGTAGTGGTGTTAGTCACTGATCAGGTACTTCATTGTACCTCAGTTTTTTAGTTACTATATTAAAAACAAATAAAGAATTTGTCTGAAAATGAAGAGGTTTTTCCCCCAAAATAATTGTCAGTGAAGAGGTTAAATATAGACATTTGGATTAGATTTTGCACAATAAAACTTGGCTCCCTAAAAAGTGTCAATATTATTAAATAAGGATAGATATATATATATATATATATATATATATATATATATATATATATATATATATATATATGCACCAGCTGAATGCAACATGATATATTGCTCATCTCAAATTGTGTATAATTCTGAAACTTATCAGTTGATTAATACTAATTTTATTCTGAAAAATTGACTTTTGTAATAAAAGTCCAACAATGTAAATTTAAATATAAGTAAGTGTATTTTGATCTTTAGTCACAGATAAAAGACAATAAAATTGTGGCAAATGGGAATAGGAGAATGGAATTCATTTGTGTTGACAAATAACAATATCACATTACTATTTCTTTATTAGATTTTTTCTTTCTTTTTATGAGTCCTGTATAGTTAACTCAGTCAGTTAGTTAAGTGCTATATATGATATGTGCTTGGGTATTCATGTCTTTTGATTCATGATTGACTAGGCAGATTTTCCTGCAGTAGGTTATCATTTCTTTCTGTGGTAGACTGATTGCCAACCAAAGCTATAGGACCCAATATGTCCTGCTATTGAATCTATAGTTAATTGGGGATAAATAAATTCATACCTTTCCCAAGGGTATTTGTATGTAAATGAATATAAACTACTTATGTTGAATGTGGAGCAGAATGGATAAGGTTAACCAACTCAGGTCAATAATGATAGCAGAAGTTGAAAAACTTTGCTAATACTTTATACATACATACAAATTTCATTGATACCTAAAGGACATATATGGATAGGATTTCATGGCAACATTATTTAAACTAATATAGTTTTTTTTATTTATACTGATTACATTTTTTTTTTGCTTTGAGAAAATAAAACAATAAATTTTAAACAGAAAAATATCTTTGTAATGTCTTAGTAATTGGCAGATGAAAGAGGGACAATTATGTGCATATTAGATGCACTTGAACATATTGCAGATTATGCAATGTAAATAATAATTTAATAATAATAATAATAATAAAAAAAAAGAAAAAAAAAAGACTGATATAAAATAAGTTTAAAATTCAAACTTATATAATGAGAATATAGCAAATAGATTTGTTACCATAGTGCAAGTCTTTATGATCAGATTTTTTATGCAAAAAATAAGGGTCACACTATACAGATTTTTTTTTTTTTTGAAAAGGTTAAAAATCATGCATTTTTGGCAGTGGGTTGCACCATACACAGGTAAATCTCTATTTTTATCAAAAAGCATATGCGTACACAGTACTTTTTACTAAGAATGACTTGAATTATCATAATCTGAAGCATGTACCTCAACTTGCAGGACACCCTGTAATTTTGACAAAATGGTTGTCAATGGAAAATCTCAGCAATGTAAACACTTGTGAGACAAAGATGAATGCAAATTCGAGATCAGAAAATATCTATTAATTCTTCATTTATATTTGGTATATGTGGATTTTAAGTGAAATACATAGTGGATGAAGTTTTGCTCTTTATGTAGCACCAAAAGGGAATAAACTTAGGCTATGTGGGAGGCAGGCACAGAGTAAAAGAGCTACCATAGTCAGGCATGAATGAAAACAAAAGTACAGTATCTAAATCTTTGTATTGCAATATTTTATGTTAAGTGGGTTTTCTTACCATTTTGGGGTAGCTTTGTACAAAAAAGAAGGAGAACCATTTATTTACTATAAAACATATCCAGGATGATGCCATTACTGCAATATTTAACTAATAGGCCTAGTAGCATTGCTCAGAAGCTGTGATTGCAGTGTGCATGAGATATATGGAGAAAAAAAAATCAGGGCTTATACTATACATGAAGTAGGCTTATACACAAGTATATATGGTAGATAAGATAAATGCACCTTTTTAAATACATCAATACTTATGTATTGTGTATTATTATTTTGTAATATTTTCTTAATAAAACAAAGAAAAAGTTAGTAATTTATTTGCTAAATTTTTCACTTTTACAAACATGCTCTCTACCGAATAGTTTTTTTTGTATTTTTTTCTAACATTTCCATAAATAGTTATAATTTCTATAAAAGAAAAAAGGTATAAATTGTATCTTATAGGAGTGTTGTCTATTTAAATTATTCTTTGAGAAACCCAGTCTTTGGTGTCATTATCAAAATGGGTAACTACGATAAAAGAGTCTTGTATTAAACTCATAACAGAAATCGTTTAAATCCATTCTGATTTTAGTTGAATAATAGGAAATAAAAAATAAGCAGAAAGCATAAAGCAAGCAAGCAAATTATTTTAATAGCAAAGTACATTAACTGATTTGGTTTACTAACCAAGATAACTAAAAAAAAAAAAAAAAACAGATCTAACTAAAACTTCTTTTCTAATTTTCAGTTTGGTGATATGTATTTCTATAAAGATACTGACTTTAAGCAGAGCTTTTTCTTCAAACAGATAAACAGACAAAATCTAATACCAATCTACAATGCATCTTTCAACCATAATGTTGAGTTATTCATTAAAAGTGAGAAAAAAAAAAGAAGAAATGTAACCAAAATTCAAAGTTAAATATGACAATCAAAATAAATTCATATAGCTAAAATGTTTAGACAAAACTTCAAAACATCCACAAAACAAAATTACCAAACAGCTGATTAGGTTTTCTTTGAGTTTATTTTCTCATTAGTAGTTTATTCAAAAATAATCAAAAGTTTGGAAAAAGTGTCTTAACAGTAAGAAGGTAAATAAAATAGATAATGTTCTTAAACTTAAAAATTATAGCATAATATTCTTTTGCTTTACAGAAGTCGGATGGGTAAAATTTTAAATACCCCAACGTGCACATACAGCCTACAGCAGAATATGCTCTCACATGACTAAACATCTCACAGTTCATTTCATTTTATGAAACTTCCTCTTCCATGCTAGCTCAGGACATCTTGGAAGAGTTAGAAAGAACTTGTAACTGTAACAATGATTTTTTTCCAGAGACAAGTCTTACAAATAACTGTGAGGAGAAGAGGTGGAGCCATACCTTTCAATTGTATTTGCACAAGTGACTGTAATGAGCTGAGCCTGATGAACTTAAAGTTGGCTTCCCAATTTCTCATTCTGA